AAAATTAAAAATATCACTTGTAAGCAAAAATGACTCCATCTTTTCTATCTTCCAACCTCCTAAACCCTTTTGACCATTTATTATTGACATCAACAACTTATGAAAGGACTTTATCTCTCTTTATCTAAAACTTCATGTCTCTCTCACATCATCTTCACTCTTTCTCAAAACTCCACCTCTCTCTAAAACCCAAACTTCATCTCTCTCTCACATCATCTTCTCTCTTCTTTTAAAACTCTATATCTCTTTTTAAAACTCAAACTCCATCTTTCTTTATCTAAAACTCCATCTCTTTTTAAAACCCAAACTCTATCTCTCTATCACACATAAGAAGGTGTATCGTGTTCGAGCTCAAGCTGAACCTCTTGGCTGGTCAACTCATTGAGAATCGAAGAGAGAGATGGAGTTTGAATATAGTGTCATTTTAGTGTTTGTTTGAGTAAAAAATTTATGGTGAAAATGGTCTAAAAGATGAAGATTTTTTTGCTTACAGTTAATATTTTCAATTTTTAGGTATAGTGAGATATGTAAATTAAAAATATAGGATATATATATATATATATATATATATATTATGGAACGACTACCAAATTTATTTTTATATTTTTAAAAGAGAAAATAAAAAGGGAACAAGTTTGTATAGTACCTAGGCTCTAAACAATTAAATTAGAGCCTATCTCAAAACTTTTACTAGAAGAGGTTGTTTTGATAGGTTGTTTTGATGCTCAAATATCATCAAATTTACTATCTCGACATCAAGATGTATAGACATAAGAAAAAAATAGATTTCAAATTTTAGAAATAGTGCATCTTGTAGTGCATTTCAAGATTTTCAAGTTTTCATAAATATGTTCGACATACACTATTTTTGAAGCTTTAAATTTTATAAATAAAACTAAAAATATAATTTAAGAGTATCACAAAACTTTCTATTGAAATTACATTTCGCGACACTATTTGAAAGTGGGCTCTAATTCGATTGTTTACAGCCACGGCTCTATTCAAACCACACCCAAATAAAATATTAGCAAAGAGAGAGGAAAGATAATGAGATGAATAAAACAAAAGGTTACACGAATCCCAAGAAATTCCAGCGCCGTCCGCGCAATGCAATCCAACCAGCTTTTCCCCAAAACGACACTCGAACAAAGTCCTGTACGTCTCCTCGTGCATTTCCCATTTATTTTTCTTCATTTATTAGGAGCCTCAACATTAATTCCATACCCTATGCTCCTTACTTTCTTATCCATGTTAATATTAAGGGTGACGTTTCTATAAGGTTGCAGCCTTAAGCAATCCAATTAAGGCGCGCCTTAAAATTTTATCATAACATATAATTTTGTTATCGAAATTCTTAATATTAACTTAAAATCTATTTTCATACCTTATTAAAAAAATTAAAATTTTAAAATTAAAAAATCATTAAAATCCAATAGATCTATAAATATATGAACATCTTGAAAATAGACGGCTTAGATAATGTGTTGCAAGATGCACTATTTCGAGGACTCAAACATTTTTTTTTTCATATTCATACATCTCAATATCGAGATGATTGATAAGAGGGTTTTTTCAACATTAAAACACCATTTCCAATATACTTTTGAGGTGCATATTTTATTCTACATTTTAAGGTTGCAACCTTGTATAAACTTTTCCCTAATATTAATGCCCATGCTTCAAAGTCTTCTTCAAGGTATGGTGAAAAAAAAAAAGAAAAAGAAAGAAAAAAGAGCCCCGAGGCTCTAAATAATCAAATTAGAGCCCACTTCAAAAATTTCACTAAAAGAGGTTGTTTTGATGCTCAAATATCATCGAATTGATCATCTCGATATAAAGATGTATGGACATGAGAAAAAAATGGATTTTAAGTTTTAGAAATAGTGCATCTTGTAACTCATTTTTTGAATGTCGATTTTCAAATTTTCAGATATTAGCTTGATCTACACTATTTCTTGAAGTTCTAAATTTTATAATTAAAGATGAAAATATATTTTAAGACTATCATAAATATTTTTAGTAATGAAGTCAGATTTCTTGATACCATTTGAAGGTGCATTTTACTTTAATTGTTTGAAAGTACGATTTATTTTGATTGCTTAGAGCCTCGGCTCTACATAAACCACACATTTTATCTTTTGCACATGGAGGTCTTCATCTTTCCCACTTATTAGATGTCAAATTGGATAGTTTCGTGATGAGTAGGAGATTTTTTTTTTTTTGGCACTTTGTACCTATTTAATGACACTCATATAATCACCCATTTTGAAATTTATAGGGACAATAATGATTGTGACTTCCATGAAAAGATAAATGGTCTTGTTTTTCGCAAAAAAAAAATTTGAAATAATTCGGTACTTCAGTCAATTTGAAGGAAGAATTTGGAATTAAAAGAAAAATTTAATACAAGCCTGTCACATACTCTATAGCCTATACTCCTTATTATTTTCTTCAGAGTCATCTTCAGTTTTGTAAAAAAAAAAAATTGAAGTATTTCGGTGCTTTAATTGATTCGAAAGAAGAATTTGGAATTTATAAAAAAAATTAAGATGAATAAATAATTAAAAAAAGACAATTTTATGCTTTGGTCAAAGAGGTGAAGAGGATGAATAAGAATGAAGCAAGAAAGCAGCACGAAGCAAGCTAAATAGATGTACTGGAGCTTCGCTTTGCTTTTATCTAGGCTAAAATTATGAAGACTTCAACCTCTTCGGCCGAAACGAAACGAATCTGATGACAATAAACTATATTTTTGTTTGTAGATGCTTCCGAATGTAATAACCATAAGAGGAGTAGTTGAATTTCCGTACAATGTCATCCTAATTTACGGGGTTTATTTTTAAACAAGAGAATTCAGATTAATATCCCATGCCACACAATACATCTCACTTTACCTTGCCCTTTTGAGCAAAGTTTTATTCAATAAAAATGGCAAAACAAGAGTTAAAAATGTTGTGCTCGTGCAAACCATCTGAACAAGTAACAACACACACTCCTTAGAAATCCTTATAAGATTGCTTATTGAGTCTGGCTTAGGTCTAAAAACAAAGAAATATAAAAAAAATATGTTTTATATTTTATAATATATTTAGGGTGAGGTTTGTATAAGGTGTCAACCTTATACTATTAAAGTAAGATGTACCTCAAAACTATGTCGAAAATGCAGTTTCAGTGTCGCAAAGCTTTGGGATGATATGAAAATTTATTGTTGCCCCCGATTACAAAATTCAAAATTCTAGATAGTGTCGATCAAGTAGATATATAAACATTTGATAAACTTGAAAATGAACGGGTCCAGATAATGTGTTAGAAGATAACATATTTTTACTACTAAAAATCCTCTTTTTTTTCATGTCTATGAATCTCAAAGGTCGAGATGATCGATTTGAGAGCTTTCCAGCATAAGAGCAAACCTTCTCTAGTAGATTTTTTAAATGCATCTTACTTATATAATATAAAGTTGACACCTTATATAAACTTTTTCCGTATGTTTATATGTACTTTACACATACAGGTGGGGACCCAACACAAAGGGTCCAAGTTAGACATGGATCCAAGGTCCAAAGGGTCGATCCAACTTATTTTCTAATTTTGATGAGAAAATATAAACATTAAGATAAAAAAAATTGTTTTATGAAAGGCCGGACCGCATTTTTACATATGCGGTCCAAAAACATAAAGCATCAATCTTTAAGATGGATGCAAGTAGGTTGTCTATTTAGAAACAATGGAAACTAACAGACTAAATGTTTTTCTAATAAAATTATTATTTTTAATTTTTAAAATTCATTTATTTATTTATTCATATTCATAATCTCCATATTAGAGATTATATGCCTTTTAAAATTATGTCAAAAAAATCCATTTAAAAAAATAATTTTTTAAGAGGCATCACATTTCAACATGTGCAAAAAATAATTTTTTAAGAGGCATCACATTTCAACATGTGCAAGCTTGGCTAACATGCTGACAGCGTCCTTGAGACAATTGGTACAAAAAGCTTAGTTTTGGCACAAAAAGAAACGAATTGGCTGGTAATCACAATTAGCCCGTTATATTATAATTAAGTAATTTGAAGAGTCCCATCCAAAGAAATACGCATTTTAGTAAGAGAGCATCACTATATTCAATTGGGCACATCATAGAGTACTCCCTAGGGAGTATCGCCGTCCAAATAATACCGTGCAGTAGAAGTTAGACCGGGAGTTGCTCATGACCACCTACTCCCAACGATAGGGGGATTCGTACTGCTGCAATATCCACCAGTCAACCAAGTTGGCCGGTGGATTCTCGATAAGGGACATTTCCACGGTGGATTCTCCACAAAGCATGCTACATTCCCCTTTTATTATTATATTAAAAATAAATAAATATCTCCTTCCCTTTCTTTAATCTTAAAAATAAAACAGGAGAAGCATTTTTCAGATTCTTTTTTAAAACGGTCATTTCAATTATTAAGCAAGAAATTTGTTGGGAATTTTTTAAAATGGTCATTTCAATTAAGGTTTTAGTCAGTAGCTCCCCTTTGTTGACTTTTAGAAAGAGAGAAATTACCAGCATATTATTACAATTTTTATTATAAAGCAAGAAGCTAATGACCAAATGCCTTCTTTGGAAATGGACCACCAATTCATTAGCTTTCTCTCTCATCCATCTCTCTCTCCCTTTGGCCAATTGTTTTAGTTTTTGGATTGCTCATCTGCCGAACTAAAAGAAATAAACACGGTTTCCATGGGTCCAGGTAGAAACGAGTCCACTCTTCAAAAATCTATTTTTGAGTATAGGTAGTTACGTTACCTAATTTTAAGGACGTGTAGTCTCTAACATGACCGATCATGTAAATAATATATATATATATATATATATATATATATATATATAAATTTTAGAAAATGAAAATAATGATTCTACGAGGAAAACATTTGGGCCCACTAGTTACTATTGTTTTTAGATAAATCACCCGTCTTTAAGATGGATGCTTTATGCATCTAGACTGCATATTGTACAAATGCGGTCCAGCCCGCGTGAAACTGTTGTTCATAAGTAAATGGAGCAAATGAACTGAAATTACAGAGAGGAAAGAATGAAAAACAGATACAATTCTCTTCTTCCGATTCATTGAAAAGAGCAATCCTCCATTTCCAAGAACTCTCAGAAACAACTTTTCATTTATGAAGACAAACCCCTTTATCAGCAACATCTCATTGGCTACTATATTTACAAAAACATAATCAATGAGAAGAAAAAAAAAAAAAAAAAAAAAGAAGAAAAAAAGTGGGCGGACATACCTCTGGAAGGGCCACATCTCCTGCAACTCTCTCTCTCTATCTCTCTCTCTAAAAATGAGCAAAGACAATCTCTCTCTCCCTAAAATTGAGCAAAAGAAAGTTACTGTAATATCACACAGAGGGGTTCCATAACCCCCACAAGTTCATTCCCACGAAGCCCACCACCCCCTCCCCCACTCTCCTCACCAAGCTCCTCCCCCCACCACTCTCTACTCCATCTTCCTCATCACTTTCTCTCTCTAAACCCAAACTCGATACCCTTTCTCTCTCCTCCTCCTCTCTAACCACTCTCTCTCCTCCCTTACCCTTCTTCTCTCTCCTCTCTCTACCCTTGGGTTTGGCCATCTTCTTGACCCTCAAGCTCTCGACCTCGTCCAATATGTCGTGGATCAGGTGCTTGTCTTTGGATGAGTCCCATCGAGCCCAGTAGATGGTGTAGCAAGAGAAACAGGAGCACTCGAAGAGGGGAGGGTGTGGACCCAGTGGCTTGGTGGGCTCGATGTTCGGTTCAGGTGAGCGAGCCAAGAGGTAGGCTAGGACCTTTTGGTCTTCTGGACCCAGGGCTAAGGCTAGGGCTAAGATCGCTGATGGGAGGGCTCGCAGTGGGTCTGGGTTTTGAGGGCGCCATGGGGTGGGGTGGACCTTCGTTCCTCTGTTCTTTTTCATCCCTGTTCCTCTGTAGAGCCTCACCCTTTATCTCTCAAAAACTCTCTCTCCTCTTCTTCTTCTTACTGGTTGCTTCTCTCTCTTCTTCTACGTGGTGATAGCCCCTCTTTCTCTCTCCTCTCGTTACTCTTTCTCTCTCTACTGTAACTTAGTGGCCCCCCTTCTTTGCAGTTCTTGGGTTTCCACGGTAATCGATGCGGAGGGGGTTTTATAGGAGGGGAATCTTTCCCACATAGACAAGTAGGTGGTTTTGGAGTACTACCTGTAAGTGAATAGTGTGCTCTCGACCGAGCACGTTGTACGGACTCACCGTATAATTTTGGGGCTAGGTGCGCCACCCATTTTCAGTAAGGAAGGCTCTTTCATGCAGATTAGACCGCAGTTCTACAATATGCGGTTCAGAAGTATAAACCATCCATCTAAAAACAATTGCAACTAACGGTTGAAATGTTTTTTAAAAATAATAATTATTTTTTTATTTAATTTTTTTATATTCATATATCCATATTATTAAAGATTATATATTTTTTAAAAATTAAGATCAAATTATATTTAAAAAATATATTTATTTCCAAACGTGCAATTCTACAATATACAGGATGGTCGCATAAAAACCGTATCCTTTTAGTAATCCACCAAAAGATTATTTGTTTTCACACCAATAGCTTGGGTGGTAATACTAATTGGGAGCCGTTTTGGTCGTCGTACATGCTTGCTAATGCTTGGGTGGATCGCTTAAACACAGAAGTAGCCCGAAAGTAAAGAGGTTTTAGTAGGGCTGGTACTAGGCCAGTCCGCCGGGCCCTAAAAAGAACAGGGTTTGGGCCACAAACTGTGGCTAGAGGGCTAGACTAGGGCTGTCGACCCGTTTTAACCTAGCCCAGGTCTAACTAGACCAAGGTTGGGCCTAGGTCGGCCCTATGGGACCAGCCGGTTGCCACCTTTAGGTTTTAGGTCTTTGTGTTAATAAGTTTCAATTTAATAGTTTGCAAGCTCTCTCCCTCTCTGTCTAAATTAACCTACCAAAGAATGAAGTAAAGATTTGGTTAAGGCATCTACTCTAATATATGTGGGGCTACATATTTATGGTAGTATGAGTTTTAGGTTAAGGAGGTTGTGGTCTTTGACCTTTGAAGAGCGAACCTATAGCTTATGGCTTTTCTCCTTGATGACCAAATGAAAAGGAAATAGGAATGTGGTTTGAATTAGAGGGGAGATAATGGAATTTGTAAAAAATCGAATGATGTCGGGCCTGATGTCTCCTCGATTTTACCGGCAACCATGACCACTTCCCGATCCTCCATCCCCGTGCTTTCATGGCCCCACACTCTGGGAATCTGACACTCTCCCTCTCCAACACTCTTACCATCTCTCTCTCTCAATCACTACTAGTCTACTACCATCTCTCTTCGTCTCTTTGGAATCAAATACTCCTGCAATCAATGTTGGAAAAAGAGCGACTCGGGCTTGGTGCTTGTTTAGGCACACCCGGCTCGAGTCTAAGTAACTTGGCCTAAGTTAGGCGAAGTTCTCGCTAAGGTAAATGAAATAAAAAATATTAAAAAATCAAAAAATAGGAAAATATCTTTAAAGTAAAATTTAACAAAAAAATCTAAATGAGGTTAAAATAGTAATAAAAAAATGGATTTTGAAAATATCAATTTGTGACAAGGATATTTTAAAATAATTTCAAAAGAAGGGAAACTATGAAAATAAGTATTCTTGTCCAAAACATTTTTAATCTTTCACAAAATGAATAGAAAACACAAAATAAAATATCACTAATAAATTTCTTATTTTTTAAGATTTTTTATATTTTTTTGAACATTTTAAAGATCCTCTAGTTAGACACCCAACTTGGGAATACTTGAGAGCTACTCGGGCTCATAGGGTGGCAAGCCCGTTACTTAGACGAGTCTGAGCTGATACATTGGAGTAATCAAACACTGCCTACAATATCCTCTCTCTCTCTCTCTCTCTCTCTATATATATATATATATAATGGTAGTAATTTCATGCAACGGTTGTATAATAATATAATGCAACAATTTTTATGTGATGGCCATTTGTTTGATCCAAATTTTAAAATATACACTCTTTTTCATTTTCATTCTTATAAACAATCACAAGAAAGAAAAATTTGAAAATGCAACCTTGAAAGTATGTTTTTAGTCAAATTAACATATGCCATATATTTTGATAAGATACTTAGATCTAGGCTTTATAAGGATTTTTTCTTTTCCGATTTTTTTAGATGGCTTTATTATCATTAGAAGAACAATGTTAAAAAAAGAAGTAG